CACCGGGGCTATGGCCGCAGAAGAGGGCTTGCAGACGGTGGACCACTATAAGACTGAGATTGAGCGGCTGACCAAGGAGCTCACGGAGACGACCCACGAGAAGATCCAGGCTGCCGAGTACGGGCTGGTGGTGCTGGAGGAGAAGCTGACCCTCAAACAGCAATATGACGAGCTGGAGGCAGAGTACGACAGCCTCAAACAGGAGCTGGAGCAGCTCAAAGAGGTGAGTTGCCTGTCACCTCTCCCCTGCCGGCCTTCCCCCCCCCCCCCGTGGCCCATTCATCATGATCCAGAAGTCGGAAAGGATGTGATTGAAAAGACTCTTCTTCATCTTAGGGCCCTTTGTTGATGAGAGAAGATTGAAAGAGTCCATTGTTTCCCCCCCAAGAGAAAAGTCGCCCAAGAAATGAGTGTGTAAGCTGGAATTTGGGAGGCAATGGCTGTTGAGCCTGTGGGGGAGGGAGATTCATAAGAATCTTCAAGTATCAGCACTCTAAGGCGACATTCAGTTGGGTTGGAATGTGCAAATCAAACTTCTGCAAACTGCTGGTATTTCCAATTCGGGTTTTAGTGGCAATCCCACAGTCTACAAGGGTGATGAGGCTTGCGCCCGAGGACCCACAGTTTCTGGATGTAGAATTCATGTGTACCTCAGCTTTCTGCTGCACGTAACCAGTCCTTGGCAGGGGGAAACTCCTCACCAATCCCATTTGACAAAGGCTGGGCAGTCTTCATTCTCCTTGGCTTTAGTCATTCTTGTCATTGGGTTGCAGGAGAAAAAACAACTTTGCTGGGTGATCCCACTGCCTTGATTTCACCTCTGAGAGGTGCTGGGCCGTCCCCAAGTCTCATGAGGTCACCCTGACTAGGAAAAATTGGACTCACCTACAGATAGTCTGAAAGAATGGTATATATCAAATATGTGGGCAGTCTAGCGTTTCAAATGAGGCTCTTTTGGTAGAAGCGACTGTATTTATAAAATCAGAATATCACAAATGGGGAATGATATAACATATGTCCTTTGTAGCCTTTTGGTATTCTGCTTCTTTTAAAGCCAGTCTAAGGCGCTGGAAGAAAACAATACATGTACTTTGATTTCCTGTCAACCACTCTTAAGAGCATTCATATTGTTAAAGGAACTCAGTCTATTTTACCTGATTCTTGAGGCACTATGGGTAGCAAGTAACCAGTTCTAAATTTAAATGGCATTTTAAATGTTAGTTTTCATTTGGCATATAATATTATTAAAAATGTTTTTGTTATAATGCAAGTTTGGTTTTCTTGGAGGAGTCTTGTTTTGTGTTGTTATAGTTAAAAGACGTGATTTATGACATGTCTAGTCAACTTGCCTTCTAATTTACTATATAATGTAGTCAGAATTTATACTTTCAAATATGTCTGATTTTTATTTGGATGCTTAAATATCAAAAAATAAATGTAGTACATACAGTTAAAAACCCCAACTCGAAATCTGAATTTTTGGTATCAGGGTGTAAAGTTTCTAATTCATGTTTTACTTACCATGTCCATGTCTGGTTACAGCTGGAATTGTTTACATTTTCCAACTCAGATTAGGCTGACATGTTTAAATGCAGTGGTGCTAAACCTTGTGAAGTGAGGAAGCAGGGTGATGATTGTAATTCTCAGAGATGTTTTTGATGTTGTCTACACCTATCCAGACTGCTTTTCCAAGACGGGAGTACAAACCAGACAGTGGGGAGCCATCACCTTCTTGCTAAAGGAGATGGACTCAATTGAATGAAAGGTAACTGTTAACTGACCTTTCTGCTTGATTTAAACAGCCCTTCTAGGGATATATCTGTGTCATTGCACTTACACTGCATAGTAAACCTTAATGCGATCATCTTTTGCGAGGCATCTGTATTAACTTACTTTGCATCCTGAAGGCTTCAACACAAAGCCTAGCACATAGTGGGCAGGAAATAATATTTTATGGAAGAAGATGCACCTTTATCAAGCATTCACTAGTCAATATTGGTCAGTAGCAGAGATTGAGAAAATTAGGAAGCGTAGGAAGTGACAAGTAAAACTACCTATGTTAGTTTCACTAGCAGTAAGGAGAAAAATGAGAAAAAATGTTTTGTAGGAAGAATGTTACAGTGGTTTCTTAATATAGAATAATACAAATAAAAATTATGTTTTTAAAATAAAAATTTAAAGGATATTCTGCTCTATTTAGGAGGAGATTAATAAAAATGTATCAGGATTATTTCATCAAATAATTGCTTACATATTAATATTTATTTTGAGTTGCATTTAGCATAAATAAAATTCAATTTAAGGTACTTGATAAACTGGCTTATATGGTTGTATATAAATATATTTTAGGGTAATATAATAATCATTTACTTGATACTGAGACCTGTTATTTTTAATCCTGTTAACATGGTATGTATTTTAGTTGGGCTAAATCAGTCTCAAGTAATGTTTCCTGTTTGAGAAGTAAATCCTAAATAACTGCAAAAGTGAGGTGTTCCAGTTTTGATATCGTATAGAAGTCCTTTGTGAAAAACATGTTTTGTGAGTGCTTTGAGTTTTCAAAAGAAAATTTTATTCATTATCAGGTGTATATAGTAAACAATTTTGTTGCATTCTATCTACAAAGCCAAACATAAAAAGAAATCTTTGATTTATTTCTAGGCTTCTTTAACAGATGTGATCATTTAAAAATAATTGGACCCGATTATGGGAATGTCAAACAGACAGCCACTGTACTAAGTCTAAGCTGGCATTTGTAATTCACTGTGTAGCAACATAGCTCAATCTTTGCAGGTCAGTTTGTTTTCCAGAGTCAGCACCCAACTGGGTTGCTACCTTCCTTCCCAGGCGTGGCAGTGCCATGACAGTGATGCACGTGGGCACTGTTGCCTGAAGATGTACAAAATCAAGATGAATTCATCCTTTTTTTTTTTCCTAGCTGTTTCGTCTCTCAACCAGATTGCTTTTTGACCTGGCCTGATATCCTTTAGTGTTCTGCCCTGTGCCTGGTCACATGGCCTGCTGTAATTCTGTTCATGAAAGAACACACTTGAAAGAAAAGGCCCAAGGATCTGAAGAAAGGATGACTTCTGCTGTCATCAGACTGCTTTCCTTTTCAGTAGGCCTTGAGCGACTGGACTGAGCATCGTGTCCACTTGATTATGGTTTTATGACTTCACAAATAAACTGGCTTTTCAGTGACCCGAGGGGAACCCAGTACTTGTCATGTTCAGGGCCTGGCTGATTGTATGTTTGGGATGTAGGTAAGTCATCGCTGTGTGTCTGTCATTCAGGCCAAAATAGTGTTTGAAGAAGAGTCATGGCTCTAAAACAACTTGAAAGCTAAAAATATACAGATACAAAAATATCTTAGATCTTAAATGTAAGTTTTTTTAAAACTTAAAAAAGGTTGAGATTTAAAATGTAGTAAAGTTTAGAGGTCTATTTTATTTGAAAGGGATGATTCAGCATTACTGGTAGCGTTATAAAGAGAGAACAGATCTGTGTGACTTTAGAAAAGTTTTGCAGTTTGGTTGTAGTAGACGGTGAACTAAGTTTGTCACTCGTCTTTTGCTCGCTTTCTCAACTTTGACGCCAGGGATAGTCACAGTGGCTGAAGAAGCACTTTCTGGGCCTTGAGCAACATTTTCTTTAAGAGCCAACTTTATGCTTTTTCAAGATTATAATTAAATCATTCGAAGAATAAATATTATAAGTTTTAGAGATTGTCACATTGGGGCTGGGCTCAGGGGCTCAACCTATAATCCCAGCACTTTGGGAGGCCAAGGCAAGTGGATTGCCTAATCAAAAAATTAACTGAACATGGTAGCTTGTGTCTGTAGTTCTGGATACTTGGAAGGCTGAGGTGGAAGGATCTGCAGGAGCCCAGCAGGTCGACTCTGGGTTGGCCGTGAGGGTGCCACTGCACCCCAACCTGGGTGACAGAGCAAGACTCCAACTCAAAAAAAAAAAAAAAAAAAGATTGTCACATTGGGGACCTGATGAAAGCCATTTAAATGACCTCCATTTGTCTTTAAACCATCTTTTTTCACATATGCTTAGAAAGATTGTTAGCTTCTTTTATGTCGGTAAATTCTAAAACGTGAAATTATTTGAGAAAAAAACCCGGATTTCATTTTTAATCTATGAATACATATGGAAGAAAGTTAGTTGCTGCACCTAATTAACTTCTCTCTTACTGTTTTAATTTTTAATTTTTATTTTTTGAGTTGGAGTCTCACTCTGTTGCCCAGGCTGGAGTGCAGTGGCATGCTCACGGCCACCACAGCCTCGACCTGCTGGGCTCAGGTGATCCTTCCATCTCAGCCTTCCAAGTAGCTGGAACTATAGGAATACACCCATACCTGGCTAATAGTTTGATTTATTTTAGAGACAAAGTCTCACCAAGTTGCCCAGGCTGGTCTTGAACGTGTGGGCTCAGGCAATCTTCTTGCCGCTGCCTCCCAGAGTGCTGGGATTACAGGTATGAGCCACTGCGCCTGGCTTATTGTTTTTAAAGAAGATTTACATTATTACCAAATTTATTATCATATGAGTTTAAAAAATCTTAGCTATATCAACATATGCTTTTGGAAACTGTTTATAAGCAGCCTCAACAAATAAACAGTCACTTTTTTTTTTTTTGAATCTGAGTCTTAGTCTGTTGCCCAGGTTGGAGTACAGTGGCATGCTCTTGGCCACCGCAGCCTCGACCTGCTGAACTCAGACGATCCTTCGGCCTCAGCCTTCTAAGTAACCAGAACTATAGTTGCGCACTACCATGCCCGACTAATTTTTTGATTTATTGTAGAGATGAGGGCTTGCCAAGGTTGCCTGGGCTGGTCTCGAACCCACAGGCTCAGGCAGTCCACTCACCTCGGCCTCCCAAAATGCTGGGATTACAGGCTGAGCCACTGAGTCCGACCAACAATCACTTTCAGTCATATCTCTCTCTCTCTCTTCTTTTGAACCAATTGCTCTCACTTATACTGTTCTTTCTTTTTATTTGAACTCAAGTGCTCATCTCTGCAGAGTTGTTTCTCGGGTGCCACCGTTTAGCAAGATTTTATAATCTTCGTCATGTTCACCATATTTACATGATCGTGTCTAGCAGCAATGACTTGAAGATTTTCTTTAGAATTTCTTGCTTGCAAGTATTCAGCCCTCTCATTCTCTTAAATACAGTTGTTCTGGTGGATCTTGCTTTTCAAATTTGAAAATATG